CTGGATGTTTATAATTCTTAGCTGACTCTTGCATCAATTAATGCAGGGCAGTCCAGTGCTCCAACTTGGACTATATCTTAGGCAGGACACCATTCAGTTTTTTATGATGTGGCACCATATTTAGTGTGGAAATAGATGTTACCATATCTTATTCTAGATATAGTTTTTGCACCAAAACCAAGATAACTCATTTCTTTTCTCTCCCAAAACATATTAAATAAGATCTCTTTTAGGTACAACAAATAATAATAAGATTCACCAGATAATGCATCAAAAAAGAAGATACTCCATATAAGCTAAATATTGGAGTACATTACAATGCATTGGATGGGCTATATCTAAGTGTTATTTAATGCATATGATATAGTATAGTCTACATATATAAAATGCATTTGGAGTACCCTTATGCAGTTCCTCGTATTAATTTGGATAAGCACGTAATTATTACAATTATTCACGAAATCAAATAATGAATTGTTACCATATACTCCCTCCGTCCAGAAATATTTGTCGAAGAAATGAATAAAAATGGATGTATCTAGAGCTAACATATGTCTACATACATCTATTTCTCCGACAAGTATTTCCGGGCGGAGGGAGTACTACTAATTTCTACTCTGGAGGGACAGCGGAAGAGCCATAAATAGAGGAAATCCAGATTTTCTGGGACGATCCAACAACACCCCAGGCACTACAGACCAGGTTCCCTTGAGTGGACTGAGCTGGCTGCGCATATCACGAACCTAACTTTGATCGCCATGGCTGGACCTACATTGATGCACTGCCTGCTCGCCGTCTCTCTCCTCTCCTCCGTTGTCCACGCGCAGCTCTCGACGACTTTCTACTCCAGGTCCTGCCCCAGCCTGGAGAACACCGTGTGGGCGGTGATGAAGCAGGCCGTCGTCAAGGACCGGCGGATGGGCGCGTCGCTTCTGAGGCTCTTCTTCCACGACTGCTTCGTCCAGGTGATGACTCGTCAGCGTCGCGCTTGACTATACAGTCTATAACTGAGTATACGTAGTATCTCACGGTTCGCATGATAATTGTGACATGCATATGCTGCAGGGCTGTGACGGCTCGGTTCTTCTCGACGCCGGCGGCGAGAAGCAAGCCGCACCGAACGCCAACTCCCTGCGCGGCTTCGAGGTCATCGACGCCATCAAGGCGCGCGTGGAGGCCGCGTGCCCCGGCGTCGTCTCCTGCGCCGACATCCTCGCGCTCGCGGCGCGCGACGGAACGTTCCTGGTGCGTGCCGGCCGGCCAAACTTAGCCATCGACTCCCGGAGTACTCTGCTCATTGCAACTTACTAACTTTCATTTTTAGAATCTTATTATTGATGTGTCTGTTTTGTTTGAAGCTCCACGGACCGACCTGGCCAGTGCCGCTCGGCCGGCGCGACTCGACGACGGCGAGCCAGTCCCTCGCCAACAATAACCTTCCCTCGGTGAACTCCAGCCTCGCCACGCTCATCTCCATGTTCGCGAGGCAAGGGCTCTCGCCGACCGACATGACGGCGCTGTCCGGCGCGCACACCATCGGCCAGGCCCGGTGCACCACCTTCCGCGACCGCATCTACGGCAACTCCAACATCGACGCGACCTTCGCGAAGCGGCAGCAGCGGACCTGCCCCCTCTCCGGCGCGGACAACAACCTGGCGCCCTTGGACGTGCAGACCCTGAGGGCATTCGACACCGCCTACTACCAGAACCTCATGGCTCACCGCGGCCTGTTCCGCTCCGACCAGGAGCTCTTCAGCGGAGGGTCGCAGGACGCGCTGGTGCGGCAGTACAGCGCCAACCCCGCACTCTTCCGGAGCGACTTCGTCAAGGCGATGGTGAAGATGGGCAACATTAATCCTCTCACTGGCACCGCCGGCCAGGTCAGGAGAAACTGCAGATTCGTCAACAGCTAGATGGAGAGCCGAGAAGATGCAACGGAACCTCTCCAATGTTGCATCGTAGCAAAACATAGTATACCATGTCCATGTGTAGTATCGATATTTCCAAAAACACAAGTGGTGCATTCTTACAATCGCAACAATATTTTGCATATTCAAATCGCCCTTTGGTTTAGGCTATTTGATGGCTATGATTATACTGACAAACTCTTTTAAGACGGTCCCAAATGATACGAGTCATCTGACGAAGAAAATTATTGTCTGATTAAAGCACATAAGTAAATATGAAAATTGTAACAATACTAGTAGTTAATAATATCTCTATTTCTATTTTTGGTTTCATTGCAAGCTCACCATGCATGTAGTTATTCTATTTGCTGACACTTGGCATATGCTAGTATTAATTATTTATGAATTTTAAATAGAACTCGTCATTTTTCTAGAATACATGTACAATGTATCATAAAAAAATGTGTGTAAGTTTGTGGAGTATTTTATTACAAAATATGTATTTATTTATTTTTCTGACAGAATATATTTTAACCAGTACTTACTTATAGAATTTGGAAAGGATGGGTTTATACCATTTTAACACTTAAATATATGGTATCACACGCATGTCTTATGAATTAAAAAATAAGTCTGGACATTTTTTCTAATAAAATTGTCCAAGTATATGTGTTGCACAACTTATAATGTAATTAAAGGAAAGGTAATCACATTCATATTTCAAAATAAATGCATGTATGTGTTGTACAACGAACCAACCATATATAGTGCACGGGAAATTTTCCATATTTCGAAAGCGTGGACATTAAGTTTGTCGAAGATAATCCTTTCAATCTGTTATACTTACGATATATATGTACACCAAATTTTCCCTTGATCAATCAATGACTGGGGTCCAATTCCTCACTTACCTCTTATGGGGTAAGAGGGGCCATATTAAAATCTTCTGACATCAACTGCTTCTAGAAAGACATCAATGCTATCTCGTTTCAACATTGATATCTATTGCAACTATAATCTTTATTATATTTAATAATTCTTACTAACACTTAAAGATTTCCATATATATTTTAAAGGTGGTATTTTAATGACTTACAATTAATACATTCGTCTGAATATTTTGAAGATTTTCCATATAAACCTGCCATGCTGGTCATCATCATCATAAGTACTGAAAAGCAAAACGTGACCATATGTTTATTTTACAACGAATATTTTATAGGGCACATTTACAAGAAATTATTATTGGAATGGCACGAATGTTGATGTAGAAATCCCTTCTGAACTCATAACAAGACTTGGAGGATCTGACCAAAATATGCCCAAAGGCTCTAAACTAAAAGGCAAACAAAGTGCAAGGTTCTAACCAAAGATGGTTCAAAGGATCCAGACGATGCTCAGTAAGCTGTAGCCTCGGCTTCGAAGGTTCTAAATGGCATATAATTGAAGGCTCCGAATGGTACCAGATTCAACATGGAAAAGATTCAGAGGCTTTCAATGGAATTTGGCTGGAGGTTTCGACCAATTGAAAAACAGAGAGATATAGGCTAGGAAGTATGAAAAAATTAACGGTTTTGGAGTTTGATATTCAAGCACTTGGCAAGAAAAGCTTCACCTCACAATCCTTATTTTTATTTTATTTTTTTGCGGGGGCACCTCACAATCCTTAATCCCCTTTTGATGGCATAAACATAGTTATGGAATTGAACTCAAAAAGCTATGAAATGATCCTTAATCTTGCCAACACTTCATCCATAAGAGTTGAGGGAAACAGAAATAAGTGTTTTTTTTTTTGCGAAAATAAACACAAATAAGTGTTTAGTATATGAAATGTAATTTTTACACAACCACATTAATATGGTCTAACATACCACATTAATAATGTGAACCCTCCCTCCGTTTCTAAATATAAGTCTTTTTATAGATTTCAATACAAACTATTCAAACTACATATGGATGTATAAAGACATATTTTAGAGTGTAGATTCACTCATTTTGCTCCGTATGTAATCCATTATTGGAATCACTAAAAAGACTTGTATTTAGGAATGGTGGTAGAATATTTGTGCCCTGTTACAGCGCACGTGTAATTAATTATCTGCTTCTGTTAAGAATGACCAATGTGATATCTCAAAAGAAAAAAGGAATGACCAATGTCCTCACGAGAAAAGAAAAAACTAATCAACATGCTCCCTCTCTTGCCATCTTACCAGGCTACCAGCGTCCTGGCCTTTGCCACTTTGTATTTTAGTTTATTTTTTGAGAAATTTGCCACTTTGGTATAGAGAGCCATCAAAGCAGCAGGCTTTACGAAAAAAAAACAGCGGGAGGATTCACGTTTGAGCCCAAGCCCAAGCCCATCTGAAAGAACAGTCCACCGCAAGGAAGAGTGTCGTTCAGAGCCGCTTTCGGATGAGCAGCGCTAAGAGTACGGCGTTTGCGCTACGATTTCTATACGACAGACGATGCAAGCCATCCATCCATGGAATCGGCCAGCAATCAAGCCAGCTACGAGAGTCGGACAACCAAAATCGTACGTACAGTGACTCCGCTTACAGATTGGAGTCGGAGTCCGTTTTCATCTGCCCTCCCAAACCCCCATCAATAAATTGCAGCAAGAGCTCCCGAACCAACCGCCAAACCAGAAGCGACGGGGAAGAGAAGAACAAGGCGAGACGCACACGATCGAGACCCAATTCCCAAACCCGCGAGCTCCCGGTCGCTGCTTCGTCCTCGATTGCGTCGATACATCCATCCATCGGCGACGTCTTGGATCTACCTGTCGGGATCGCCATGATGAACCCGGAGATGATGCGGGTGGCGGAGGAGCAGATGCGACGCATACCCGCCGACGACCTCGCCAGGATGCAGCGGCAGCTCATGTCCAACCCGGACCTGCTAAAGCTCGCAACCGAGAGCATGAAGAACATGACGGCCGAGGACTTCAAGCTCGCCGCCGAGCGCCTGAACCACGCAAGGCCAGAGGAGATGCTCGACATGACCGAGAAAATCGCCAAGGCCAAGCCCGAGGAGCTCGCCGCCATGAAGGTGCAGGCCGACGCTGAGACTTCATGCGCGATATCCGCCGCCGAGATGCTGAAGCGGCAGGGGAACCAGTTCCATGGCCGTGGGCAGTACGCCGACGCCGCCGCCAAGTACAAGCTCGCCAGGGACAGCGTGAAGAACAGCGTGCCGTCGGCGGCCGGGCGCGCCCTGCAGCTGCAGTGCAGCGTCAATCTGATGGCCTGTTACCTGAAGCTAGGCGAGTTTGAGGAGTGCGTCAACGAAGGCTCGGAGGTTCTAAGCTATGACTCGGGCACTGCCAAGGCGTACTACCGAAGGGGTCAAGCGTACAAAGAGCTAGGAAACCTTCAGGCTGCTGTTGCTGACCTGAGTAAAGCCCGTGAAATGACTCCCGAAGATGAAACTGTCGCTCAAGCTCTGACAGAGGCGCAAGAAAAACTTGCGACCGAAGGGGGAGCAGCAAACCTGCCGAAGGGAGTTGTCATTGAAGAAATTGTAGAAGAAGATATTAGTTCGGATCTGTCGAGTGCTCAAACGAATTCTTCTTCTTCTACTGCTACTGAGCATACTGTTTCACAGCCACACAACGGAGCACGAAACTCGACACAATCTAACTCTTCAGAAAGCTTGGTAAATACGTCTCAGGTTGCTTCTTCAGCAAGCGGAACAAACCTTGTTGCTCCAGATTTTGGATCCAATATGCCTGGGATGGTTGGTATGGCGGACCCTGCTATGTGGGAGATGTTTACCTCCATGGTGGAGAACATGAGCCCTGATGAGATGGCAAACATGAGTGGGCTGCTCGGTATCGAGATGTCCAAGGAAGATGCTGCCAACGCTCAACAGGCTATGTCTTCATTCTCTCCACAAGATTTAGAGAAAATGATGAAATGGATCGACAGAGCACAGCGAGGAGTCGAAGCGGCAAGGAAGACGAAGGACTGGCTCCTAGGCAGGAAAGGCTTCATCTTCGCTATCATCATGCTGATCTTGGCGTTCATCCTCCATCGTCTTGGATTCATGGGGTAGATGATGATGGCCTACACATTCGAGAATCGGCAACAAAAAATAATACTCTGTTATTTTTCCTGGGCCTGAAGCGGTAGTGGACGGATGACAACAATGTGGAAGCAATAGTTGAACCTGGGCCTTTCTTGTGCCATTGTTTATTCTTTCAGCATATGTGTTTATAAATTGTACTGCTGTAATAGATTAGAAGTAACTGGCCGAGTGTTTTGACAACATGCACAATCTCACCTTAGCTAGGATCTTGCTTCCTCATACCTACCCCTTATTCTACTGTCAGACTTAGAATCACGACACATATCTTGATCTGGCTAATTTTTTCTTTTGTTTTGGCTTGTCGCAAACAATTCATCCAAGTAAACCTTATGCCATCTACGGCACAAACCTTGATATGGCTAACCATTTCAAACAGTTCGTATGAATCAATTGTATGCCTCGTATCACACACGCGACTCTAATCTAAATCGTGCTCGATTCTCCGCCATCGCACATAAAACCTTTTATTGGTGATGGTTTTATTACGATATCTTTTGCGATTCATGCAACACACACAGTTTGGTCGAAGGGTCTTCAATACATGTGTCACGTTAGGACCATCATGTAGTAGTGAGTGTTGAGGTCGACTGTCGCTGTCAAAACCGGCGGATCTCGGGTAGGGGGTCCCGAACTGTGCGTCTAGGCAGATGGTAAGAGGAGACAAGGGACACGATGTTTTACCCAGGTTCGGGCCCTCTTGATGGAGGTAAAACCCTACGTCCTGCTTGATTGATATTGATGATGTGGGTATTACAAGAGTAGATCTACCACGAGATCAAGGAGGCTAAACCCTAGAAGCTAGCCTATGGTATGATTATTGTTCGTCCTATGGACTAAAGCCATCCGGTTTATATAGACACCGGAGAGGGCTAGGGTTACACAGAGTCGGTTACAATGGTAGGAGATCTACATATGCGTATCGCCAAGCATGCCTTCCACGCCAAGGAAAGTCCCATCCGGACACGGGACGAAGTCTTCAATCTTGTATATTCATAGTCTTGGAGTCCGGCCGATGATGATAGTTTGGCTATCCGGACACCCCCTAGTCCAGGACTCCCTCAGTAGCCCCTGAACCAGGCTTCAATGACGACGAGTCCGGCGCGCATATAATTCTTCGGCATTGCAAGGCGGGTTCCTCCTCCGAATAATTTATAGAAGATTGTGAACACCAGGATAGTGTCCGGCTCTGCAAAATAAATTCCACATACCACCGTAGAGAGAATAATATTTACACAAGTTTAATCTGCTGACGTATTTTGTGGCGTGACGTCACGCCACAACCAAGCCTTTACTCGAATCGTTTTTGTTATACCACCTCCGCGCGTTTAGCGAAGCGGTTTCCTTGGCACGTCTTGTCGAAGCAGAGATCGTGTTCCCCTTATTTCGGGATTCTCATTAATACGGACGTGGGTAACCCAACCGCGCCCATTGCCACGCCCCCTCCATCGAAGGCGGGTTCCAAACGGTCACGGGGACGGCTCTTGGTATTCTCCCTCTTTATAATGAGACCAAGGCCCGTTGTTTTTCTTCAATCCTCAATCGAATCCGCCCCTCGCCCCGAGTTCCAACACCCAGGGCTCCAGATTCGGGTACTTTCGACCTTCGACAATGTCCGGCTCCGACCTACGGGGCCGGTGGATGCCCTCCTCCGTCACGGAAGAGGACGTGCTAAAGCTGAGAGACGCCAGGTACTTAACCTATGAGATTTCGCATAGGTTGCCTGCCCAAGGGCAAGTTATTCCTACTCCGAGCCCGGCGAGAGTGTCGTGTTCGTGTCTCACCTCCGTCGGGGTTTAGGCTTCCCAATGGATCCCTTCGTGAGGGGGCTCATGTTTTACTACGGGCTGGAATTCCATGATTTGGCTCCGGAGTCCATCCTCCACATCTCATCATTCATTGTCGTCTGCGAAGCCTTCCTCCGCACTACCCCTCACTTCGGCTTGTGGCTCAAAACCTTCAACGTGGAGCCGAAGATGATTGAGGGGCGTCACGCAGAGTGCGGCGGGGCGGTTATAAGCAAGAGGGCCGATGCTCCATGGCCCGAGGGCTCTTTTCAGGAGGAGCTCGGCTTGTGGCAACAGGAGTGGTTCTATATCACCGCTCCCAGGGGCAGCAGGCAGAGGCCGCCGCCCGCCTTTCGCCCGGGCCCTCCACAACGGCTGACGTCATGGGTCAACAAAGGGCTTGACTGGGGGCCGTCCAAAGACGTACCCCTGTTGCAGGGCCGGATTCGAGACCTCCAAGAAAGGGAGATCAATCTGGTCGTAGTGGCACAGGTTATGCTGATTCGGCGCCTTCTGCCCTGCAAACGTCGCCCCCTCCGCCTGTGGGAATTTAATCCGGAGGGACCACGAGCTCTCCAACACTTCATGGGTTTGACACCCGTGGAGATGTACAAACTGTTCTTCGGATCACAAGAGATGCGTCCGGACTTGACCGAGGATGCAGGCCTAAGCTGCAATCGCCCGGATACTCAAGTAAGTAGCCCTGTGTTCGGACACATTGTCCATTTATTTATCATGGGTTTGCCTTTTTAACCAGCTATCCCTTGGACAGGAGTGGATAGCGCAAGCAAAACTGATACGGTGTCCGGCCCCCCTCCCTGAGACCATGTCGGATCCCGTGTTAATCAAAATGTTGGAGGTTGCACCTTCGAAGGAGGGCAAAGGGGGGCACAGGGAAACTACCACCTCTGCCAAGGAGGCTTTCAGTAAGGGGGGAATCGAGAATCCCTCCCTCCAGGGGGGGAAGAGGACCGCTTCCGAAGACCCGGAGGCCAAGGCCTCAAAGCGAGGAAAGAAATCTGCACCGGAAGGTCCTGTGCCGGGAAGAGCCCCGGCCACACAGTCTCCCCAAAGGAATCAGCCCTCCAGCGAGCCGTAAGTAAAAAGGGGGAATTTTGTCATAGGGGACACCCCTACTTTATTTCTAAGGGTAACCGAAGTTTTCACCTTGTAGTTCGGATCTCAGCCCTTCTCAGCAGAGCTCATCTTCGGTGGACCTTCGTCCGGAGATGATGGAGAGCGAAACGCCTCTATCTGCCGCCCCGTTAGGCGGGGAGGACGACCCTGAGGTGTCGTCACGGAGGGTCTCCCCGAGTCCGGCGGGGCCGAGGAGTTCGGCACCCACTGGAGTACGGCCGGTGGAGCTGCAGGATTTGCTCGAGAGGGCGTCTATCTCAGAAGTTCACCGCACATTAATGAGTATGGTGATTGAAAGGATCTCATCCGCCGAGAGCGGGTTGCATGAGGCCGTCGGAAGTTTGCTGACGGGGTTTGAGGTACGCAAAAAATGAATACCTTTTGACAGTTTTGCACATGGAGTGCGTCCTGTATAGATAGTAGCCCCTGAGACTTGGTATGCTGTCGAAAGCGACAGCGTGTCGAGGATCATAATCTCAGTTATAGAATGTCGCCTTTTCTATGCAGGTGGCGGAACGTTCGGTGGCCAGCCAGACTGATGGAGTTGCCGAGCTGAAGCGGCAACTCGACGTTGCGGATGCGGACATCGCGCTGGTCAATAAACGGCTTGACGAGTCACAAGGCAGGTGGTTTCTCCGCGGTCACCTAGTAAGGGAGCTGATGCCCGTTCCTTACAATTTGTATGCTTGATGAAGATGGTGCCGCTGCTGTGGAAGACCTTTGAGCAGAGCTTGCTCGAGCCAAGGAGCAAGCCAGGAAAAGTGATGCGGCTGCCTCGAAGGCAGTGGAAGAGCTAAAAGCCGAAAAGGCTGCTCACTGCCGAAGCAGGGAGGAGATGGCCGGAATGGCCGTGAAATTAAAAGATGCTACCGACCGCTATGAGGTTCTTGAAAGAGAACGCCGAGCGGAGCAAGAGGACCTGAAGAAGGCCACCGCCGAAGCCAAGGATGCCCATTGTGCGATGCGGGCTATGAAGGAGGAACTGCGTCAGGCCGGAGACATTGCGGCTGGAAAGCCCTTTCTGCTGTGTAGGAAGTTCACGGATCCGAAGTATGCTCAGTTGGGCCAATTGTGTGGTGCGGAGGATCCTTATCTGGATTTGGCGGCGAGTGCGGCAGACGCAGTCGTGCACTTCCGAAGCCAGAAGGATCACGAAATGGAAGAGCTTTTCTGGTCTCAATTCCATAGTCCGGAGCGTCCACTTCCGTTGACCGATCGGTTGGCTGAGTGGGCTGAGTTGAATAGATTGTCCGGACTTGCCATGACGGATGTGGTGGCTCATCTATGGCCAGAAAGGCCCAAGCCGGAGAGTTATTTTGGCTTGTTGCAGCAATTCCTTGGGGCGGTGCCGCATATCAAGGCGATGAAGCGGTCAGCATGCATAGAGGGTGCACGGATGGCTCTCGCCCGTGTTAAGACATACTGGGCGGAGATGGATGCCATCGATGTTGCATCCCGGGGTTCGGACAAAAGCCGATTACCCGCCGAGCACTATTTTGAGGAAGTCCTGCAGGGCGCTCGTTTAATAGAGTCGCAGTGCTCGAAAGATGTTATGTTCAAATGACATGTATGATTTATGAGATCATGTTTATAATGTAACGACCTTTTATACTTGTGCGTTCAAGTATTGGACTATCTCCTGTGCGGCCGTATATGTATGTATAACCTGAAAGATGGCAGTCTTTGGCTTCAGCCCCCACGCACATGGTGCGGGGGTGTTTGCAAAAAAAAGCGCTTTTTCACACTTAATCCAACGTCTTGGTCCTTTGAAGGAGGTGATAGCATAGCAAACTAGGCAACCGGACTATAATGCTTTATCACTTTCACTTAGCCATAGGAGCTCGATGGTGGGGCTACTATATAGCCCCTAGAGGCACCGCGCTCTCCGAACTCGGGGCGCGTATGTGCCTGACCAGGAAGCGGTCCTTCGTCAAAGCGGAGTAATTCTAAACATTCCAATAGTCGATCGAGTGGTTGATCAGTCTCTCGCTATATCATGACAGTCAGTTTTCGGCTTTCTCTACTGAGGTGCTCGCCCGGCCGAAC